GGGGGGGGGGGGGAAACAAAATGAAGATTCAAGAAATTAATAAACTATTAATGGAAGTTACATCCTGGAGATTGGAATGTAGCGGTTTTAATTTTTTGTTGTTTTCCAAATTTTCTGCAATCAACAGGTAGATTTTCATAATTAATCAGAAAAACAAACCAAAAAAATTAAAAATGGTTTCTTCCTGCTGGATTTTTCAGCCTCTGCATTGTTTAGCTCAACACTCTTTTCCATATTTCCCAGGATCCAGAAAATTACATAGGGACCTCTGGATTAGCTGAATTGGCTGCTTCATCCCTATATCCAACTGGCCTTGAGAGTCAAAGACTAAAAGAAAGACCATCTTAAGATTTGTGCGGATCTAGTCAGATACTTCTGGTTGCCAGGTAGCAGGCATCCATAACCATCACAGCGCTCCCCGTCAGCGATGATGGACGCGGCCTAGGATCCAGGCAGCCCCGAAGCTGCCTTAGTGCGCCGTGAGGAATGAGCATGAGACAAAGCTGATTTGCAGATACAGGATTTGTTCTCCCCCAATTGAGCACATCTGAATAAGCTTAGCACACAAAGCACCACCCAAGGGAAACACCTTCAGGCAGCCTGCCTTACTCTGCTGCAGAGACTGCTCCCCCTCCACACAGATTAACAGGTCAACACTGCAAGTGGCAACACATGGGAAGACCTCCTCACATGGCAACCTGGCTGGGAGCAAGGCTACGTCTTTACACTCACTGGAGCTATCAGACAACTCCAGGGGGCCACACATGAAAATGTCTCGTTAATTTATGCAGAAGTTACATACTAGGGGCCAATAGGCTTAATCTTACCCAAAGACAGGTTCTGTTTGCACCTCCTTGATCCACAGTATTTTTAAAATGTGAATTGGCTACATAATTTAAAAAAATAGAAAGTTTTATATACAAATATGGATTTCTGGTCTCTCTAGAAAAATAAATGGAAGGGGCAATGAAGGACCCAATTTTCCACATGGTGACAATTGGCCGGAGTTGAGTAGGGACAGGGTGTGTCCTCTCCAGCATTACTCCGCCTCCCTTACCCGTCTTGTCCCCTGTCCTGGGTTGTTCTGCTCATTTTGGTAATTGGCATCTGTAGACCCTAGGGTTTGTCACCAGGCTTTATAGCAATTCCACCTACGCAGGAAAAGCAGTTTAAACCCACTGCATACAAACCATTCACCACCTCTACGGGAGTTACAATGACTCTGCAAAGCCGGTGTCTGCTGCTGCGGAACAGAGGCCTCCCTGATGTCACTACAATCCACGTTTTACCTTTTGCTGTCTTCGCCCTGAGATCTGACGTAGCAAGGAGCTCTGCCGCAAGCTCATTTACCTCCTGAAGGCTGGAAGCTATTTAAAGCTCCAAAGAGATCTGAAGAACTCTTGATATACTCCTGATCATTCCGGATGAAGATTTTTTTGGCTTTTTGTTTTGCTTTGTTTTTCCTTGTTTTCGCGGGACGAATCGATTTACTCAGCTTATTTGGCTTTCAGTGATCATCACAATCAAATGAATGTTCTCTCAGAGTGGACTCGGGGGGGTCCAAGCGCAGCCCTCGCAGCCACGCGAATGCGCACAGGGCAATCAGCTAGCAAAGGAGCATTGCCAGGTCCCAGCTGGACAACTGTTCTCAGGTAATGAGGGATCACGGCATCTCCTCTCTCTCCAGAAGTCATGCACATGGCCCACAACTTGTTCTAGCCAAAGAGCCAGGTCCACTGATAGGTTTCTGAGAAGACTGAGGACTGATAGGTAACCTTCTCTCCAAGGCATAAAACAGATAAACACTAACTTTAGTGGACCGGAAATGCAGCTGCGCTTGGAAAAATGATTTTGACCCTTCATTAATTGAAGGACTTACTAAATGATGCTTTAAAAGCATTGATGGTTCTCCACCCCCTCACTCCAGACTGAAATTAGCCAGGAATCTTTACATTAAGAAAATATTAGAAGTTTACAGGTCAGGTCAAAAAGCTCTCTTTGTCATTACTGACAGCACCAAACATTAAAAAATGACCCATGATGAACACATCAGTGGGAAATTATCTAAAAATATAAGCTTCTGCTTGGCCGGTGTAGCTCAGTTGGTTAGAGCGTCATCCTGAGCACCGAAAGTTTGCCAGTTCGATTCCACGTCAGGGCTCATTCCTGGGTTGTGGGTTCAGTCCCCCCGTCAGGGCACTTATGGAAGGCAACCAATTGACGCTTCTCTCTCACACTGATCTCTGTCTCTGAGCATGTCTTGGGGTGAGGATTAAAAATTTTAAAAATATAAGTATAAGCTTCTGCCAGACAACCTTGTAATCATCTTCACTCAGGCAAAAGGAATCCCGGTACCTGAAGCAGAACGTTAGACAGCCTCACAGGTGGTTCTTCCTCCAAGGCATCTGTGGGCCTCGACCAACCACAACGAGTCCCGGTTAAACGGAACAATGAGCGAGCATGATACTGGGGCCAACTGCAACAGCTTTTTGCTCAAATGCCACCTCCTCTGTGAAACCCTCCTTGATCTCAAGGGCAGGGATAGAGTCTCCCTCCTCTCTTCTCCCAAAACACCTAATACTTAGGTCTATTAGGGCACTCACCACATTGTATTTACAGGTCGCATCTTGCTCACAAGGCTGAGAGTTCATCGTTGTGTTCTTGAGACCTGGCACAGTACTGAAGAGAGGAGGGAGCGTAGGAAGAAGGATGGATGGAAGCACAGACCGGACGGGTCAGATGCTCAGCATTACTTACCCCAACGGTCTGAGCTCCTCTTCCTGGCTCAAGGCACACATTGCTTTCTGAGCCTTGAGTGTGTTTCCCACTTTATTAGATTGGTGAACTCTTGCCATCTTTCAAGATTGTTCAAAATCACTTCTTTCAGGGAGCCTTCCTGCATCCCTCTCCCACCTGCCCCTATAAGTTTTTACTCCTGTTCACAATTTCATTTATCATATTTATCATACGTATCTCCCAGCTAAATTGTGAGCAACTTTAGGCCAAAAACTGTCTTGTTCCTGTAATTCCTAGGAGGAGTTCCTGACATACAGGCTTAATAAATACTGAATTAATAAATTAACCTAACCTAACAGGTGCACCTACCTTAAATTTCCAAAGTTACTTAAGAATTCCATTGTGAGCATATGGATTATCTACTTAATTATTCACATCAAAGTTTTAACTCTAGAGCTGCTGTTCTATTTATTATCTGGGGAGTTCTGGTTTCTGGGTCACCTTTCTCAGTCAGTTTCCGAGGGATGACAGAGTAGAATTCATTTCAATGTCAACCTCAAAAACAGACTTAAAGAAAAACCTATAAAAAATCAGATATTTCTTTTAAAATCAAACATAAATGATAATCTAACATGCTTTCTTAAATAAAATATTCATATTATTTTAAGCGCATCTGTATTTATTACCTGAACTGACATAGAAACAAATGAATGGTGGTGAGTGGACATCAAATTTACATAAGATTATTCCGACCTGGGTAGAAGAGGCTCTTTGAGGGGAACTTTAAGTAGCATGGCCATGAGAAGATGAGAGCCAATGAAGGCTAAATAAACAAGGTCGAGGTCATAAAAGGCAGGCAGAAGTTTGTCTCATTATTAGGTTTGGACTTTATCCTACAGGAAATGAAAAGTCCTTTTAAACTTTCATCAAAGGAACACGGGGTCAGGTTGGCCTCTCCATGTGTCGGGCAGTAGATATATAAGATACCTGTGGCTACTGAAGCCAAGCCAAGCCACGGCAGTGGGAATGGAGGAGACATTCTAGAAGACATTCATGAAGAAATGTCATTTGATGAACAATTCTACATGAGGTGTGAGGAAACACCCTCCTTACGATGTTTCTGATAACACAGTTTGTATAACACAAACTTCTAGTTTCTTTACAGCTTGATTGTAAATTTGGTACCAGGTCAAAAGTGTGAGTGTCATTACTAGCCACCCCCCTTTAAACTCAGGAGAGAGGCACTAAAGAAAAAAATTGATCATGGTACAATTCTAAGGTGTGTTATTTTTTTCTAATTTATGAAAAGCAAAGCATTTGCAATAAATCCAATGAAACTGAGTCCTAATCAGGAATATATCTATCACTAATCAAAGATTTTAATTTGCTCCATTGACTGCTTACATGTTCAGGGAGCCTTTGATTGAGAGACCTGTGCTAAAATTCTTGATATCAGCACATGGCCATTTATTCAACAATGCAAGAGAACACAAAAAAAGGGGGTATGAAAAATAATCAAAGTATAAAGCTACAACATTTATGTTAACAAAAGTTTTAATACAGACTTGACTAAAAGATGCATACAATGAGTACTGAATCTCCATTCATAGGCAGCCCACAAAGTTATGAATGAATTTATTAACTTCAAACAAAACTCCATGTTGTGCACTTAAAAATTACAAGCCATTTAAAAATGAAAATCAAACGATGGGAGGAACGACTATAAAATACGATGGATGATTTTAAAGAAAGAGTTCAAGTATTGTTTGTAAAGTTCTTCAGACACTAGTCTTTGAAAAGTTTGTGCATTTCCAATCTTTGCATAGTAAAAGAAAGAAACAAACAAAAAAGAGAACCAAAAACACACATACCACTTGGTAAAACTCCACAGCTCTACGTGATTCATGTTTCATAACATGCACCTATGTGCTCATTTATCTACTGCTCATTTATCTAATAGGAGTAGCTCTAATTCAGTGGGCTCATGCAGTGTCCCAGGTGAGCAATGAAGTAGGCATACATCTCATCCATGTGCTGTTCATCAATGCAGCAAACGTATAGCAGGTGAGATGGGAACTTGTCATTACTTAACACTAACTCTTGTTGGGTAACATTAAACAGTGATATGCTTGTGCTTTGAGCTCAAATTAATAAAAAAAGCATTAATCACACCACAAAAATCAGCAAATGAATGGCATATGCAAGAGAAAACACAGCAGAGTTTGAAACTACGTAACCTAATACCATCAAAAATAATTATAATCCACTGTTTACGACTGGTATGGTTGCATAATCTTCCATAGTCATACACACAGAGCTTAAAGCTTGTGTATTTTACATATACACACAAATAATTTAACATTGGAGCATAGGTTTGGTTACCTATGAAACTGCCAGGGTAACAAAAAGTTACCCTGACATTTGCCATATGTACATAATATTTGGGGACCACTGTGGTCTGATTTAAAACATAACATCGCACATTTACAATGTCGTTTGTGAAATGCTCAAAAGTTAACAATAAAGATTTAACTTGTTTTGTAACCACCATGGTTTTGTTTCTATTAAGTCACCGTGGTGCCTCTGGAAGAGCAGTGAAATGTACATGGTGTTCTCAGCAGTGGCTTGGAGTCCACTAGTGAGTAGGATCCAGCAACAGAGACAGAAACAATGCAGTGACAGGAAGAGATGCCAAGTAATCTGAGTTTTTTGGAGGTCAAGAGCCATTGCCACGAGGGAAGGGATACATACAACCTGTGTCTTACGAAGCCCAGAACAGGGCTGGTACACCCTGCAGAGAACCCTGTCACCACAAAATACACGTACAGCTAGCTCGAGAGAAAGACTGCACACCTGTGTAGCACCTAGTACTCGGAAAGCAACAGCAGGGTTAAGATGTTAGGTTATGGTCTATTGTAGCATATAGAAATTAAGGTTTCTGCTCTATGACTGATACTTCCACGATTAAAAATAGATGAGAAAAACTGCACTGTTTTAAGAGCACATTTTGAGGACATAATCATTTCCAAAGTCATAGCCAAAGTTGTGGGACTAGTGTCATGAATTGTGCTGGAAAAGGACTTAAAGCTAACTGGTTTGGCTGTCATGAAGTCATAGGATAACTGATGTCCTGTTCCTAACAGGAAGACTTTAGAGAGGTGTGGGCATTTGGGGGCCTTCAGGAAAATTCGTCTCTAGATGGACGCTCACTGAATGGACCATGTACAAGTTTTACATTCAAAACAAAGCCAGGACCAAATTTCTTTATTAACGTATATAATTAATACTTGATTATATACTTGAAGCGATCATGAGCATATTTGTGGAAGAAGCAGCCTCAGTGACAGTGACCTAAAATCTGAGGGACTTGGGAACCCAGATTACATCTGCAAATCTGCCTGGAGGAAAAAGGGGGAATTCGTACATAGCAGAACCCTGCTGTAACAGCCATCCACACACCAGCTGCGTGCCCTGGGCAGACGAGGCTCGAGGCCCGCTGACAACACAGCCCGCAGCGGTCAGGCCCATGCGAGCCGCGCAGGAAGGGCCCGCAGCTCCCCCCGCTCCCGGCGCAGCGGGCCACCGCGTGAGGCAGGGCGACAGAGCAGGGATGGAATGCGGACAGGAGCACAGATGAAAAAAATGGAAAGCTGCTTTCTGTTCCAAGCTTTCAACACTGAGAAAGTATTTTTTTTTTAATTTAAGGCTTTAAGTTGACCCTCCTTTCACATTGAAGACAGGGAAAAAATTGTCAAAACCAAACACTAACATCATGAGCTTGGCACTTTTGTGATTAACTTGAGAGGGTGTCTGCTTCCTTACATTATATACATACGTTTATAATGACGACAAAACATTTTAGAGACTTGTCGGTACATGTATTTGCCTTTACATAGTTTTTGTTTCTAATATGGGTTCTTTTGTCGTTCCGTGTCCCCCCGTCGTTTGTTTATTTTTGGTTTCAAAGCCCTGCATTTCACTCGAGCATTTCATTCTTAAATGGCACCTGTTTTGTGCCCAAACTCCCTGCATCTGTGGCTACATCTGTCTTTTTTTTTTAAGCAAGCCCAACAGTCACTGTACAACATGTTACAAGAGAGTAGGACAGAGACAAAGAAATAGAAAAAAAGAACCAAAAAGACGGGAGCAAACAAGAGACTCAAATTTACAGAGAACCTTTACAAGAAAAATATTTCGGTACAGACAGGTGAGTACAATGTGTCGAAACCCCTTATTTCCATATTTACATTTATAAAAGAGCTGTACAGCAGCATCCCCGCTCAGATCCCAGCTCCCGTGTCCAAAGGCTGCTCGTCGGGGGGGAGACAGTGGGACAGGGGACCGACGGGAGCGGGCTCCGGAGCTCGTGGCCTGGTCCGGACTGGGGGGCGGGCACCTTCCCCGTGCTCGCCAGCCTCTCGCCTCGGGGACCCAGCGGCAGGGTTGGCTGCGGATTGGCTGCTAGCTGCTTGTTTTAGAGAGGCCATGCAGGTTTCACCTTTCGAAAATTAGATCTTCATGCCACTGGAGTGTGTCATTGGTAGGAAAAGAAAAAAAATCATGCCAGATCGTTTAGAAGATACTAAGTGCCAGCAGGCTGAAGAAGAAAAAAAAATCATTTGCTATTTTTAACGGTTCTTTTATTGCACTTAATTTTTGTTGTTGTTGTTCCTTCTTCCTTTCGTTAGAAAAAAAAAAGATTCTGAAAGAGTTCTTTTTATAACATGGTCTTTTGCCCCCCTTTCATTGACAGGTGGTGGGAGGAGTTCTTTGAAATGATTTCCCAAAAGGATAGTTTTTCTTTGATCTCATCCCTGGCACCCCAACTTGAGTTTGCAGTCATGACCACCCAGTGTTCTTGTTTACAGGCTTAAGAGTTCTGGCAACATCGCTGAAAGTGTCACATCCGGAATCCGACAGTGCGAGGCACCGTTCCTCTGGCACAGCCCATTCAGATGGGGCCTTGCTGACTAGGATCGAACCTCCTCTTCTTGACATTTCTTCCCGAGTGCGTCAAAAGGAGATGCAGGCAGAGGGGGGAAATCCACAATATTAGTCAGATCATGATGAGACAAGGGTGATGATCATGACAACACTAGTTCCAGAGCTAAGTAATCAACTCACACCGAGGCAGATTTTCCAAAATAACTCAAAATGGAAACACAGAACACCTGACACTCTTGAATGTCTTGACAACATCTCCACTAGAATATATTCACTTGTGAAAACCAAGAGAAGTTTCAAGTTGTTCATTTTAAACCACTGGAAGTCTCAGCAGCCCAATTTTTCTCTTATTTCAGAATTCACTGACCCAGCTAACTGTAACTAGATGAAAATTATTTTAGGGGGGGCTCTTCCATTTAGGGGGCTATCAGAACTAAGAAAACCTCTGAAGGTCTTGTAGCTGATTCCTCCCAGGACCTGAGAGCCCAGTTATCAGTGGATCAGCCTTTGCCAATATGGCAAAAAGCTTTGTTCTGCTCAGTTATCTTGCTGCCTTGGCTGTGTGAGCTCTTACCTCACAGTGGAACAAGCATTTTTCATGTCTAGAAAGTTTAAAATCAGAGTGCACAGGCAGACAGTACACTCAGAGGAGAATGGACACAGGCTCAGGTTAGTTAAGCAAATGCAGCAGATTAGCTTAGTTGAAAGAAGCAAGTTAAAATGCCTCGCTCACAGTGTCCAGTCTCCTAAAAAGTGGTTCCTATGTTTAAAAAGAGAAAAGAAAGAACCAGCAAGACACTTGTACAAGGCAACAACAAAAGTTGGTTGCAACCTCCCCATGGTCTGGTTTCATGTGGGGCATCAAGCAAGGAGGCTCATGCATTTACTCTGCGCACTGGGCGGGTGCAACCCTGCTGCCACCGAGGCATCATGCAAAACTGGAGACCGAGGGGTCCCCAGGCGCCCTCAGTCCCCTGCCCACTCACTCAGGGCCAGCTGGTGCCCTTGCAGCCCTAAGTACCAAAAGGATCACAGTACATTCCTCCTCACCGCTCGGTAATCCAAAACAAGACCACCACCAATGTTCCAAATAGGTGTAAAGGCATCCTGCAAAGTTCTCACTTTCCCCCTAGACAGCCACTTTGATGCTTCTCTTTTGAAATATCAAATATAAAAATCTTTAAAGAAAATTTCCCTTTTCTTTTTGAAAGTTTTCATTAAAACATCATCTTTAATGGCCTAGCACGTGGTTGGCTGACCTCGCAGGTAACCCACAGCAGCAAACACTATTCGCAACGGTGCTACCTCCTCTTCTTCCCTGTCCCCCCCCACCCCACGGCCCTCCTCTGAGTCAGCGCTCCTGAAAGCACGAACTGCTGATGCTGCCCCAGAAACAGAGATGAGACCAAAAGGGACGTCTCCCACAATGTACCCGTCACTGAGTTTGCTTCAGGGCACGGGGGCGGGGGGTCTGCTACCCGTGTTCATAGCCCTTGACGGTAGAAACATAAGGAACCACACTTTCAGTGAGTCAGGTGGGGCAAAGCAGGGACTGCTTGACATTATAAATGACTCTGAAGGACTACTAGTTAGCTATGCATTACTGGGACTCAAGAGAAATGTTAAACTAATGTCTTCTCAATTAAAATGAATGTAGAGGAAAGAGCAAGCCAGCTAACGCTACGCATGTAAATGACTATATTGCCCACATCTAAATTCCTTTATTCAAGTGCAGGGAATGAGAGGGGAACTGCCATGTCCAAGGCCGTAACTGCAATCCAGCTCAGCCTGGCATACAGGCAACCTCCAGTGTCCAAGTCTGTGCTCCTTCTAAAAGTCAGTTTAGAAGCTTAAATTACATTATTTTTTTAAAATAGAAACAATGTTCGACAGGGTGACCGGGGTCTCAGCCCAGACCAGAAGGCTAAACTATGCTGTAGAACCATGTACTTACGAGAAAATAGGATCTGAATACTAACAGGGGACTTCAGGACTGTATTTCCGACCCAAATGAGGACAAGAGGGACACTCCTATGGCAGGCTCACTGTGAGGGTCCCTCACATATAAGCTGTAACCACTATGGGCTCCTGTATGTTGACAACTGCCTGTCCTGAATTTTCTCTATGAACAGTCTTTTTGTCCAATTGTAATGTGAGAGCACAACTATCATGGGTACATGTCTGCTGTCTTCCTTCCACAACTGTTTCATCTGAATATTTTCTGCTCACCAGGACTGTGAAGGCAATTAACTCTCTCATCATAGCCTGTAAGGTATTTCTGGATCATTATAAAATATTACCATAAACCGTAAACCTTGCACTGACCCAGTTTTCATTAACTTTTACTACTTCTGAAAAACCTGTACTTTTGTCTGCAATATACACACAGACATGTATACAAAATTAAAACAAAGCTCTTCCAGTGACAATAAGCATCTCAGACTGTAAAGCCTTTAGATCTTTCAAGGGCATATTTACCCATCGCTATCGCCTTCTTCTCTCTCCACAGTGAGTCCTTGGCGCCTGCCAAGGGCCCCTCACCCAGCCCTCTTTAGGTGATATTAGCCTGAGGTCACCTCCCCAGGGGTTGAGTCAGGGGGCTGAACGGGGTCTTCCGGGCCAGCCTGCGTGAGAAAGTGCCTAACTCAGGGGTGGCAGACACTAGGGGAGTTTTGCACTGGGATTCGGTCATGGCAGTCTGGTCTCCTCCTCATCAAAAGAGTAGGTCACAGGGTCCCATTTCCTAACTCTGTAAAACCCAAAAGCAAAAAGAAGGGGGGTAGGAAGAGGAGGAGGGGGGAGTGGAGGAAGAG